TGTTTACCGCGAACGTCTTGGCAACATCCTAATCTCAAATAAAAAGTCATTCAAATTTGAAGGTTTAGTTTTGTACACATTGCTCTTTACATATCCTCATAAAAAGAAATCTAATGATGAAAGATCAGGTGATCACGCTGGCCATTCAATTGATCTTCGCCTCCCTACCGATTGGGAAATGTTGTATCGAGGTATTGCCGGACATTAACTTGGTAATGTGGTGGTGCTCCATCCTGCCGAAACCATATTGTATTCACTGGAACTTGAGGGTTTCCTTGATCAGGATATAAATTTGCTAAACTTGGAATGACATCATTTTGAAGTAGTGCCAAATAATTATCGCCATTCAAGTTGCCCACATTGGAAAAGGTACCAATGATATGGTTTCCTACAATTCCTGCCCAAACATTAACCTTTTACGCACTGTATACGAATATCCATGCTGATAAATCCAATGTTGTGTCATCTGACGTCACATTTCGTTGCGTTTGTCTTACTTTTATTTTCTATAATTTTTGAAATAAATCCAAGAAAATTCTGCTCATACAGGATACCATTCGAACACTTTTGAGTATGGTTAGTTGCCAGCTCCCAATCAATGTAGAATTTTAAATATCTAACCTTCCATTTGTCCGATGATGTGTACCTATTCGATTCGATTGGTCAAAGCAAGCACGATTCTTTTCAAGGATAAGGCTTCAGTTCGATATATTTTTCCTGTGAAGACAGATGTGCCAAGGTGGTTGTGAAGGGACACTCCTGTTGAAGTTGATAATTGCCCTTCCTATATTGAGTAGAATAATATTCTGGCTATTTTGTAAATGAGCCCTGGAAATTCCAGTTCTTTTGTTTAATCAAACCACGAGGCTTCCGGTTTTTGATAGACAAACCGTTTACCCTCCCTTATTTTCCACTTTTTATATAATATTTTATGGGTTTGAATACTATTAACTAATTGAAAAATACTTTTCAATTATAGTGTAACGATAATAAAGACTTTGAAATTGTGAAGAGATTTTACTATTGTCAAGAAGTGAATGTTGAAGTTGACTATATTCAGAGAAAAAACAAAGCAATTTCAGGTTGTATAAAATGAACCAAAAAAAGAAGATATGGCAAAACGAAAATTTCTTGGCTACTGTAATCACTTAGCTAAACTCATTACAAAGACAAAATTAGAATATCATAAAAAACGAATTGAAATAAACAGAAATAATTGCAAGACAATGAAATCATCAAAAAATAATTTAGAAGTACAACAGATGTCAAATATTTAGGGATAAAAATCGACAGCCTATTGGGCATCGTCAGTACCGGGCAGGCGGTCCTCGATTGAAGACAAAATGTGAAAAACCAGAAAAGTACTTGATAAAAATAGCTACGTAAACGCAAACGAAACATGAGTGGGACCACCTATTGGTGTGACACCCAAGTCAACTTGACAAGTTTTTATGTCATTGTTGGTGGTTGGACCAATCAACCGACAACTGCGGTAACAGAAATTTGGGAAGCTAACCTGAAATGCCATCGGAAAACGAATCCATATATTTCTAGAAATGGTATTAAATCGAGAAAGGTTAATGCAGTCAAGCTGCTGGAATATATATATATATAATGCCACTATATATAATGCTCACTTTCTTCGCGATACGCCATAAAATAGTGTAAAAAAATTAGAAATACAATTGATACCACGGTCAGTATCGGCTCTATGGAGTTATTTTTTATTGAGTCAAAAATGACAGCCTTATCTATTTCTCCGGTTGAGTTTTCGCCCTTAGTGCCGAAAGGTATTGAGATTCAAGAGTAAGAAGGGGCATCATTCCACCAAGGACTCCATTAATCAAAACAGCCATCTCAACAGATTGGTCTGAATAGAGACAGCGGAGTTCGGAGTTCTTTTTGGATAATATACGTCTCACGAGAGCTGAAAATTCCATGATAAATATCATCTTTTTTTCAAGGACAAAACACAAGCACTACAGGACAATCCTCAAGGTCCTCTAAGAGCGGTGCTTGTGCGAAAGTAGCGATTCACATTGGATTTGAATCGATAGAGATTAAATTCATTTGGAAAAACGTTTTTAGGAAGTGTAGCCTACATAAACGCAGTTCTCCAAATGGAGGAGTTCTTAAACAGCGAAGTTCGAGGTGTACTGAGTAGAACCTCAAAACGATGAGCAGCCACAGTCCGTCGCGTATTTCTGATATGTACCACTCTTGGTGGAATCAAGTGTGCCAAGTCACGGAAAAGTATCTATAGAAGAGAGAAAAATCTCCAACCTTTCTTCGATGTTCGCGTCTCCAATCAGGCGGATGGTTCTTTTCTGGATGGAATTCAACAGCTTAAGAGTATGCTTAGAGGCAGAGCTCCATCCATGAGAACAATACTCCAAAGAAGGTCTGATCTGAGCTGTATAAAGCATTAAAAGTTGTTGAGGTGTGTACAGTTTTCTGGTTTGAAACAGTGTTCCAAGCCTTTGAGAAGCAGCTTTTGCAATTCCAGCGACATGATTGTGCCAAGACGTATTGGTGTCCATTTTAACCCCCAACATTCAGGAAGCTGGAGAACCATACACATGAAAATGATCCGACAAGCCATAGCATTGAAATTTGGCCAGCAAATGAAAGGCCTTAGAAATATCAAGTGCAACAGCTCTTGACTCTCCATGTTTTTGATTGAGTTATTCTAAATTTGGGTGACAAACGATAGAATGTCGCCTGTTGATCTTAAGTTTCCGAAAGTTACTTCTTCGATTGACGACTTGTTTATTTTGTGGAAATTCACTGAGGATACACTACAAAAACACACTTTTGTTTTTGAAAATAGTATAATAGCCGAAACCGGTCAACAATAAAGAAATATAGTGGAAAATAGACAAAAGTGTGTTTTTGTAGTGTATCCTCAGTTTCCGAAAGTTAAATCGATGATCACTCAGGATATTAAAGCCTTCCAAATATTAAATGATATGGTGGTTTATGGCTTTCTCCATGATTATTGACGTCAGTGATAGCAAAGCGACTGGTCTAAGTTATTTGTAAGATTTTTCTTGCCCTTTTTGGGAATAGGCTGAACACGAGCAATCTTCCAACAAGAAGAAAAAACCCCGTCCTTGTAAGACAGGTTGAAAAGTCTGCATAATAGTGGTCGAGTTCATTTGTGCACTTTTTAAGTATGATGACGGGTAGTTCATCAGGATCAGACGCCCTGTTGATATTGAGCTGTTTCAAAATTCGCCTGACTAGACTCTGTCGAAAAGTAATTTCTAGCAGTGGGGATTCTAGTGGGGGAATAGTGGATGGTGCCTTATCCAGAAAATCGACTTTGGAGTGAGACACAAATTGCTAGTAGATATGCTTTTTCTATGGCTGTTGTTGCAATTGAACCATCCGTTTGTGTTAATGGTGGAGTTGTGGATTTTGTGAAGTTATGATTAACAGAAAAAGAAGGATCTAGACCCGTTAGGATAGGCAAGCAGTTTGTCCCTAATTCTCTGATTGTGATGTTCTTTGCTTTCATTTATTCTAAGTCGTGATCTGACTCATTCGCTTGTGTGAATCTGAGGGGTGAGAAATGAACCTTGCATCGTCCTCTTTAGAGATGGACCGTTGCGAATTTGCCTATCCCGCTTCCACCACCCCCAAAGACTGATGCAGGTCTTTTTTCATAGTCATAAAATTTATGAAACAAATTGGTGACCTCATTCCTCTGGTTTCCGGAGGTGTCACAGTTTTATCCTCGAGTATTTCTGAGCTCAATGGATAATGGCAATAGTGAAATGATGCAGAAAAGAACGGGACTGAAACACATCCCTTCTGAAAGTGGCCCCCCTGTTTCGGCTTTAGCCTGACCAGATGTTAAGTTGTTCAAGGTTCAGTTGTTCAAGTTATCTCACCGCAAGGCATCTGAGCAAAAGCAAGATGAGCTCATGCGATGTTGTACCAAATGCCTCGCGGTAGTCAATCCAGGCCATAAAGAAGTTACGCTTGTACTGTATCGAGTCCTGTGTTATATATCAAATCGATGAGCAGCTTCTATTTACATCCAGCGACTCCTCTCTTCAACCCTCTCTGCTCATATATCCATTCGAATACTCGGTCAATAATTGTGGTTAGTATTCGTATTTATGAAATGCTCATAAACGACTTATAACACGAATTCAAGTATATTATTGGTCTGTAATTCACAAATCACCCTTGTTGGAGATGAGAACGGTCCACGCCTGATAAAGCAATCCAGAATCGGCTGCTCTCCGTCCAGACATGAGTTGAAAACTCTGACCAGTTGGCGGTCTGTGCTTGATAGTTTTTACCACCAATATCTGTTCTGTACATTTGGAATTGGAGCAGCAATGTTCTTGAAACCCACAAGGGCTCTGCAGACGTCATCCGGAGTCATCGGGTTGTGCAGCTTCATTAAGAAAAAGAAAAAAAAGAGTTCTATTAAGGAATGAGAGATTCACTGAGTAGTTATGGAATTGGATTTTCTGAAATATCGTCTTGGGTTTCTGTTTTTATCATTTTTCTTTCGCTTCTGTAGGTCTCTTTATCTTCTGCTTCTATATTTGCTAGTCTAGGTACGGTAAAAGTCTCCCGGAAATCATAGTGAAAAGGTGTTCACTTGAATTCACTTGTTACGTGTTTTGACTGAGAAGAGTTCATTTATATTAAATAACTCAAAGACAACCCTTTTTTCTTGTTTTTGTTTTTTTAATGGTCAGTTTTATACGTATAATTTTCGGCAATACACAATTTTTGTTTGCATTTATGCAAATATTACGTATTTTGCTTTAAATAGGTGCGGTACTCCAAAAATGTTTCGCGCCTCACAGGCTTTTCTGTGTATATATAGCCTTTGTAACTTCAGCCTCCCCTGTTCTCCAATGCATGAGCAGTCACTGGTTCTTAATAGCGGTAGTTTATTTCAGTAAACCATAGATACATATGTTATCATGGGTTTAACCACCATATTCATTAAATAATTATGTGAAATGTTGTAGCCAGATCTGGAAGTCAAGTTACCCTGGACAGTTTAGATCTGACTAGGTATTCTGAAGATGGTGGAGGAACAGATGAAAGAGTAGCCATTTTGGAATTCGAACTGCGGAAAGCAAAGGAAACAATAAATGCTCTTCGGAATAACTTGACAGTAGCTACCGGTAAATTATTGAAATTCCCGTATTCAAGTGGTAATTACTGAGTTTTATTGTTTTACAGAATCCGAAACGAACTCATGTGATAAAGATAATTCAAGAAATATAAACATTGGTGGTATAAAACCGCATGAGCAGAGAGCATTGAATTTTCTAATAAATGAATATCTTCTGCTGCATAGTTATAAGCTGACATCCATCACATTTGCTGATGAAAATCAAAATCAGGTAAGGTAAGATTCAGCCTGAAAATTATTATAGATAAAATAAGAAATATTTTGTTTCTATTCCAAATTTCTCTTTGTAGGATTTTGATGATTGGGATGATGTTGGTTTAAATATTTCCAAGCCTCCTGAACTGCTTGCCTTATATAGAGATGGATTGAAACAAACAGTGCAAAATAGTGCATCTGTTTCAACACAAACTGATGAAAGCGACGACCAGAAAGCAGTTGAGAATTTCGGCGAGACAATTCAGAATATTGAATTACAAACTTCTAATAAGAGCGGTAATATCGTTAAACTCCAAGGCGAAATCAAACAATTATGTTCAAACCAGAAAACTCCTGCTATAGATTCCGCCTCAACAGAAATTCCATACACCAATCGAACAGAAATTGATAAAGAATCAACAGATAGCTCCGACCCTCCTGAAAGATTTGAATTTATTGATAAAAATGTTTATCTGGAGAAAAAGCGAGATAGTATTGTTACTTTGGAAGACAATGTGTCAAATAATAGTTTTGATACAAGTGATTGGACGAATCTCAGCCTTCCTATAGAAATTAAGGAGAGTAATTCTCAAACAGAAAATAAATGTAGAAGTTTGGATCGAGATTTAAGGTAAGCGAACTGTTTTTTTCTTTCTCACAATTTTTCAAACAGATTCGATGAAGTTAACTGAAAGTTACGAATACCCTTCTAATATAACATCTGAAAAAATGGCGCTGGTTCTATTCGATCATCAGCGACTTGGTTAAGTTCACGCTTGGTCCTACTTTGATCTCGTTTGAAAATTCTGGCACACCGTGTTAGATAGAGAATTATTCCATCGGCTTTGAAAGAATTCAATCTTGTTTTATAAGCTAATAACGCAATAGACATTAGCTCAAAGTTTAGAGTTTTTGTGTTTTTGAAAATTTTCTGTTTTATGGTGAAAACAAGGATTTGTGGTGGACATAAGTAACAAACTGTGGTAAAAGTTGGAAATGGGAAAATTCTGCTCGATGTGCCTGCGCTCTCATCCGTATGGAAGCGACAAGTTGGTGATACTGGAAGACTCCAGAATCTCTCTCAACATAGAGAGAATCTCATAAACTATACCTTACGATTTGATCTCTAAAAATTTTATTTAAAAAAATATCATGACATGCTTTGTTAACACAGTAGCTTTTTCGTAGTGAAAACGTTCGTACAGAGTACATACGTTTTCACTACATGTGATAAATAAGTTGCCTAATCGTATCAAGGATTGGAGAAGCATAAATGAATTTAAAAAGAAACGAAAAAAAATCGATGGATTCAGAATCGTATAGTGTTAGTGATTATTTGAACCAAACGGAATTATAGAAATGTAAATAGTTATGAGTATATGTGGTGGTGGTTGTATGTCAGTAGATTCACATAAATTTTACTTTTTTTTACATCATTTCATTCTATGTTGTCTGCGTAAAAGCTGTTTTAGTCGGCATATTTTTGATTCAAAGATTATCATTATTATTGAGAGGGTGACACTCAAGAAAGGCCAAATAATAGGCACCTGCAAACTGATTGTGAGAATTGCCAGAAATTAGGAATATGTCCCTTTGCAGCGTATTCAACAACCCGCGAAGGAACTCNGTATATGTGGTGGTGGTTGTATGTCAGTAGATTCACATAAATTTTACTTTTTTTTACATCATTTCATTCTATGTTGTCTGCGTAAAAGCTGTTTTAGTCGGCATATTTTTGATTCAAAGATTATCATTATTATTGAGAGGGTGACACTCAAGAAAGGCCAAATAATAGGCACTTGCAAACTGATTGTGAGAATTGCCAGAAATTAGGAATATGTTCCTTTGCAGCGTGTTCAACAACCCGTGAAGGAACTCCTCGACTCCTTCACGAAAACGTGGAGCCATCTGTCAGAAGAAGGACTATTCAAGGCTACCCGATTCGTAGAGGAAGAAAACGACATGTTTGTGAAGGGCAAAATCATTGGTTGAACAGATTCAGTTCAACATCGGGTCGATATTGGCGATGCCAGGCTCATACGTCAATCACCAGGGCACACCAAACTACTTGACATGTCAAATGTAAATTATAATTTGACATTCTTCAACTCCAATTTTTTATATATCGTTTGAAAGGTCTCTTTATTCTCTATTCAAAAATGTTATCGCTTTTAAGTTTATTGCAACAATTAAGATAAAATAAATTAAAATCATGTGGTTACCGAAATTCGATAAAATACACTCAAAAACTAAACGTATAATGAAATGTAGAATACAAACAAGAACTATGGATGTTAAGGAAGTAGATGTTCAAAATGTTTACCGCGAACGTCTTGGCAACATCCTAATCTCAAATAAAAAAGGCCTTAGAAATATCAAGTGCAACAGCTCTTGACTCTCCATGTTTTTGATTGAGTTATTCTAAATTTGGGTGACATACGATAGAATGTTGCCTGTTGATCTTAAGTTTCCGAAAGTTAAATCGATGATCGCTCAGGATGTTAAAGCCTTCCAAATATTAAATGATATGGTGGTTTATGGCTTTCTCCATGATTTTTGACGTCACTGATAGCAAAGCGACTGGTCTAAGTTATTTGTAAGATTTTTCTTGCCCTTTTTGGGAATAGGCTGAACACGAGCAATCTTCCAACAAATATTGAGCTGTTTCAAAATTCGCCTGACTAGACTCTGTCGAAAAGTAATTTCTAGCAGTGGGGATTCTAGTGGGGGAATAGTGGATGGTGCCTTACCCAGAAAATCGACTTTGGAGTGAGACACAAATTGCTAGTAGATATGCTTTTTCTATGGCTGTTGTTGCAGTTGAACCATCCGTTTGTGTTAATGGTGGAGTTGTGGATTTTGTGAAGTTATGATTAACAGAAAAAGAAGGATCTAGACCCGTTAGGATAGGCAAGCAGTTTGTCCCTAATTCTCTGATTGTGATGTTCTTTGCTTTCATTTATTCTAAGTCGTGATTTGACTCATTCGCTTGTGTGAATCTGAGGGGTGAGAAATGAACCTTGCATCGTCCTCTTTAGAGATGGACCGTTGCGAATTTGCCTATCCCGCTTCCACCACCCCCAAGGAATGATGCAGGTCTTTTTTCATAGTCATAAAATTTATAAAACAAACTGGTGACCTCATTCCTCTGGTTTCCGGAGGTGTCACAATTTTATCCTCGAGTATTTCTGAGCTGAATGGAAAATGGCAATAGTGAGATGATGCAGAAAAGAACGGGACTGAAACACATCCATTCTGAAAGTGGCCCCTGTTTTTATCATTTTTCTTTCGCTTCTGTAGGCCTCTTCATCTTCTGCTTCTATATTTGCTAGTCTAGGTACGGTAAAAGTCTCCCGGAAATCATAGTGAAAAGGTGTTCACTTGAATTCACTTGTTACGTGTTGTTCACAATGCTTCTGTTGTGATTCTAGAAGTTATTGATCTGTTGAAGCTCCGTCTGAGAAAAACAGTTTCTTCGAATAACTTTCGAATAATAACCTTCCACTAGTTGTCCAGGGTCTATCAGACTAGGTAGTAATATGCTCATTCTAGCTGAGATCGTCCTCTCGGGTTATTCCCAAGAATTTTGTTGTTGATTTTCTGTTATTATTTAAGTCATTCAGTTTGATCGAGAGTGGATTGTTTATTAGTCTTTGTCTGGTGTGAAAGATTAGATACTCAGTTTTTTCTGTATTGAAATGTAGTTGATTAGCTGAAAACCATAGTCCTAGTTTACCAAGAAGATGGTTACAAGCTTGTTCGGTCATTTCACTGCATTCCTGGGAGACAAGAAAAGATGAGTCATCAGCATACAGCGTGATGTTATACTCAGGTAAAAATTCCACTATGTCAGCAATGAATAAAGAAAATAGTATTGGGGCCAAAACACTTCCCTGTGGCACTCCCAGCTCCAGTTGCGAGGCATCTGAGCAGTGCTTACTAATAGATNCAACCTTTTAGTTTCTTCTTAAACATTTGGTATGATTAAACATACCAATATATGCTACAATTACAATTACAGATAGATAATGGTGCAAATTATTAAAATCAATAAATTCGTCATGTTTCTTGGACATCAATTTATTCAAATTATATCTGTTTCATTAAAATTTTTGCCTTCTAATGATTTTGAGAAAACTGAAATTGTGAAAGCTGAACATCTGTTTAAGTTTAATTTTATATACCTAATGTATATGGAAAATTTTAAATAATATTTTGATGCAGATTTGCTTCAGCACTATTTGATTAACAAATGTCAACAATATAACTCTTTTTATTATTCTGTTTCACTTTTGCCCAACCCACTGGTGATTTTAATTTTGAATGTCGGATTTCTATTTGTTCTTATTTTATCTGTTTGAAGCAATTATTATTAACATTTTTTTTGTCAAATCACAGTTGGTTTTTTCGCAACCCCAGTGTATTATTCGAATAAATTAGACCATTTTTATAAGTTGTGAACCATTTTTCATGCCATTTCATTTTCTAAAAATGTTATTGATTGAAATCAAAACTTTCCTTTTCAGATTAAAATGTAGCAAGGACCCCTTTCTACATGAAGTGTATTTAGCCTGTTACATTGATATGCCAGAAAAACAGGATCCAAATATAGAAGAAATACTTAAAAAAAATGTTATTGATGACAGTTTTGTTCGTCTTGTATCTATGTTGCTTCTAAAAATGATTCCAAATCTCATTTTAAACAAAAGAGAAGAAGTTATTCCTTTGCTTGTTGGTAGCATCCATTTGAATCCCAAAGCATCAGAAAGAGATAAACTGTTGCAGCAGCTGTTCAACTTGAAAAAAAAGCCTTCTACTGAAGAACGTAGGATGATTTTGAGTGGTGAGATTCATATTTTTTATAAAATTGGTTGTTGAATTTAGGCACTGATGCCAGGAGTGAGTGTGTTTGAAAATCGAGGCTTCTATACAACAACCTGATACATATTCATTTTATCACTATGGTTAATTGAAAGCCTAAAAATATTTGATTATTCTCCGAGTTATTTGAAAAATTACACAACCGTTAGATAAATAGGAAATATCTTGAAAAGAAGTTATGATGAAACTGTGGAATCAAAGTTGTTTTATGGCAAAGGGAGGGGATAAAACATCAAATTTTCTATGGGCTGTGCATCGACTTTCAGTTAAAGTCGGCAGAAAGAAATTGAAGAATTTATGTGACAGACCCTGGTATGTTCAGTGACCGTCTTGACTCCTGCCAGATCTAACATATCATTCAATGAAATGTATCTGTCACTGTTTGCGACAGATACATTTGTCTCGAGTCTCTGCAGAGTAGTCCTCTTGAGGACTACTCTGGGACAAGTGTACAACATAGCTAGTCTGATTACTTGTTTCTAAATTAGCAGCTTTCTGTCAACACTAAGCTTCGAGTTCCGTGCAGCGCCTGCTCGTTGGATCGCCAAATTCAAATGTTCCTGAAAATTCAGGTGCCTGACCAGGATAACTCCCAGATATCGTGCGCTCCTCTGCTCGTCAACGCAATTTCCCTTTACTCGCAACTTCCCGAAGATCTTCACTTTAGTAAATTTCTTCGTGAAGTTGACGAGTTCTGTTTTGTTAGGGTTAATCACAATTTTGTTATGCTCGAAGTACGCCACGACCAACCTGTCGAGGTGGATCTGAAGCTGTTGCTTCGCCACCTCGCTCAAGAACGAATGTGCGTATCGATATACGCACATTGCGATCAGTGTCATCTCCGTATATACCCATTCGTTCTCGGAAACATCGGAAAGTCATGCGTGTACAGAGAGTACAAGGGCGATGACAGGCAGAACCCCTGCGGGACACCTGCTTTTATTGGATAATTCGTAGATGTGATTTGGTCCACTCTCACACGAAAAGTTCGGTTGCTCATGTAGGGTTGAAGAATATTAATCACAAATAAGGGCATGCCTGCCGAACACATCTTGGCGACAAATCCCTCTATCCAAACTCTATCGAAAGCTTTTTAGATGTCCAACTGCACCATAACTGTATTCCTCTCCTTGTTGAAGGATTCCTTCACCCCGTGAACAACCCGGATCAATTGGGAAGTTGTATTCCGACTCCGCCGGAACCCGAATTGCTCCTCGGGGAAGAGTTTCATCCTATCTTCCAGGCGAAAAAGTCTACTCAAGAGAATCTTATCAATCACCTTCGCCACCGCACTGAGAAGCGAGATCGGGCGATAACTATCAATAAGATTTTTCCGTTTTCCAGACTTATGGATGGGAACTACCTCCGCATGCTTCAGATAATCTGGGTAGTGTTGGTGTTTGATTATAGCATTGACTATACTTGTACTACTTGTACAATACCCTTTCGCGGCAGATTGCGGAATAAAACTGTTTCAATCCCTTCGACGCCTAGGGCTATGTTTTTTCCTAGGCACTTAATGGTTGCGATCACCTCTTCAACGTCTGTGATCCACTTCAGCAATGTCGACACCGGTATCGTCGGAACCTCTGCTCATAATGTTATTTGCATCATTAGTGGATGCTCTGTGTTCATCACAGACGTTAGGCTTAACTCGGTGGACATTGGCAAATTATTCTCCGAACAATTGAGCCTTTTGGTGATCCGTCACTGAGTGCTCGTCACCGTTCTCTATGGTCGGGATGGCCTCAAACCAGTTACCCAATCTTCTGGCCATTCTCCACAGAGAGTCGTGCACGTTAAAAGACTTTTGAGTTTTTCCCTCCACTTCATGTTGGTGAACTCTCTTATGCGCTCGTCAACCTCCGCAGTAGGTCTCAACATTATATCCTTGCTACGAGGGTCACGTGTTATCTGCCAATCTTTGGGCATCCTATGTTTTTGCTTAGTGAGTTCAACAACATCAAGCTGAAGGATGTCTCGATCGCCTTTCATCACGATTTTTCTCGTAGAGACGTATCTAGCTCTTAGGATGTTCTGGACGAACTGCCCACAAATCTTATCAATATCATCTTTATCAATGTTGCTCTTGATAGTGGTGAGATTGTTCATGGACGACCTGAACTCAGCCCAGTTCGTGCTCCTGTAGTCGTACTTGACTCTGGTTGTTGGTCTGGCTCTATTTAGATCGAAGAACACCGGACAATGGTCGAAGCTCAACTCGTCCACAGTGACCAACTCACCCAAATCCGGAACGTTCTTGTTGAGTACAAGGTAAATCGTGTTGGGCGACGAACCATTCCAAGGGTAGTGTGTCGGCTCCTTGGAGTATTCAATGACAATATTATAGCTCAGAGAATACTCCAGCAATGTCCTACCATTAGCGTTCAGCTGATTGTGGCAGTTCCACTCACGCCTTCTGGCGTTGAGATCTCCCACAACCAGTACTTTTTCCAGCATTACACAGATTGTCCAAATCATGCAAAGTAATGCACCCATCTGGTTTATTATATACCACAAACATGCAGGTACCGTCAGCAAGCTTGATGCCAACATGTTCGATGCTGCTCCGCTGCTGAGGTATCTGCGTGTTTGTGATACCTTTTCTTATCAAGATAGTCGCCCCACCGCTTCTCACAGCATCAGGGTGGTCCATCCGGGCAGTGGTAAAACCTCGTAGCTTCAGCTTATGTTCCTGTCGCAGCTTAGTTTCGGATAGAAACATTATGTCAACATTAACAATACTGCGGTATTTGTTGTTAACTCCATTCACATTCAACATGCATGCCTTTATAGGCATTTAGAAGTTATAATTGCTGATACCGCCTGCGAATGTCGCGAACGCGTTCCACTTTTCCAGTGGGCTAGAAGCACCTGTCATGAGGTTGCAGAGATCAATCGTTGAACGAATGATCTCTGCACAAGCGTGGATCTCCAGGTATATTCTACCAAGATCTCTTCCTCCAACTGTTTCTTCAAGTTTTGCATTACATTTTTGTTCATGGGTATTGTTCCTGGAACAACAATCGGAGGAAGGGTCCTCGTTTTTTGTTTAGTCGGCCTTTTGGTTCTGGCGTTAGAGGATACCGAGGGATCCGTCTCTACACCCGTGTCGTTCAAGGACTCATACCTATTTTGGGTTCGGGTGTTTACCTGTTTGATTCAAGTAGGTGCTTTCCTTGTGACCCTCCTAGGGAGCACAAATTCGTCTCTGTTTTTGGTGGGTGTAGGGGTAGGAAGTGGGGAAAATCTTCCTTCTTCTTCTTATTGGGCGACTTCATCAGGGCGGCTAGCTCCTCCAGCCTCATGATCTCCCTTTTGGCTTCAGGTAAGTACATGTCCCTGTAGTAGTTTCTCACTGCTTCCATCCGGGTTTCTCTCATTATGGTTAGGGGAAAATCTTTGAGTATGGGATCGTACTCTATTTTTGCGTTGCAAAATATTTTTACCATATTATTAATTTTTTCAAGTGTATTTCTTTTGATGGCATTGATTTTCACCTGGATCTCATTATACGTTTTGAAGAAGTTTTTCAATGTGTCTGTCTTTGTTGTAGAGATAGGCGGGGTAGGCGGGGAGTTGGAAGGTCTCCTCGTCATATTCCTTTTTCTTTTTCTTGGGGTGGCATCTTCTTCATCACTCGAAGATTTAGCAATAGGTTTGGTTTCCTTCTCTTCGGGAAAAGCTTAACTTTTTCCCTGATTGCTTTTTCCGAGTTATCTCGTAATTTCTTGTTTGACTGCTCTGCCCTTCATATTCTCCACTAATTGGGCCAGCTCCTCAATGTGTATACCTTCATTTTCTCCTATTTTAGACCTGGCAGGACTGGATAGTATTTTTGGCGAAGGAGCCTGGTTTGGGTTAGCCTGATCCGTAGGGGTATTGTCCGTCTTCTCAGGTATGGTATCCATGTCTCACTGGAAGCGCACTGTCTTCTCTGAGAAGACGCGTTTCTGTGTCTATGGGTAGAATATTATCTGTTTCAATATCTTGCGGAAAGGTGTCGGTCTCAGTATCAGGTGGGGGTAGTGTTCCGGGGTTGACAAGTACTTCTACTTCTATGGGTTGTGATATTTTAGAAGTTACTTCAGCGTTTTCCTCAACGCGACCTGTGGCCGCTTCATCCATCTTGCAGGGCTGCGATCCGACCCCACTATGTTGCTTCTTCACTCCCCCTACGAAATCAATGTTACTATTCTCCAGGTCTGTTACTTCCATTTTTTCACTGTCTCTTGGATCATTTGCCTTATTTGTCTGGATATCCTGGTTTTTGGGATCCCCCTGTACGCCTCCTCTGTTTCGTAATGTGAAACAAAATTGGGGCCAGGTTGTTCTGAGGTAGTGTCTCCCTGTATGTTTGGTGTTCCCATGTCCTGTATCACCACAATCTTGGATTACGTTGGAGTCCCAAGTATGTCTTTGTGCGTCTTGAGGTTAGTAAAGACCTTAGATATCTCCTGTATTTTTGGAGATATCTTTTTCTCTTTACCGCTATTGCTACTAGGCCTACCTAGTGAAGATGTGTCACTTAACAGACTCTCTCTCTGTCACTATCCAGTTCTTTAAGGTAGGTTGGTTTGTGTCCTGGGGTCTGAGGTCTAGTAGACACTTAGTATTACTCCTACAGACTTGTTTGTATTTACAGGATTTTTGATAAAATCCTTTTTTGGAGAGGCTCCGGGGTCCGGCCCTGGAGTTGTTTTCCCCTGTCTTGTATACAGACTAGTGTGTGGTTTACCAAGACTCGCGGAAAATGTGCTGACTTTCAATTTATTTGTACTCTCTGCCGGGAAGTATGGTGAAGATTTCTCTTTCCAAACACCAATCAAAAGTGTATTGAATTTAGACTTAGTCACAGACAACTTCCCGTTACGGGAAGAAAATATTTTCTTCCCGTAACGGAAGAGATTTACCAACTCACCCCAACTTATCCGAAAGATAAAGTATGGTAAAAAAAACTGACTCGTACTAAAAATAATCACAAAGATAAATATCAAGAACACTTTTTCGATACTATTCGGCGACTGTCAGCAGCGAACTGGAAACCAACCAAAACATAGATGTCTGCTCTCTATTCTCATAAAAAACTATTGTGTCTCACATTTCTGACCATAATGCTGAAATAATTTCAGTATTCACTGAAGCTGGGCTTCAATAATTGTTCACACTTGTTTGAGATGTATCATCCAAGTGAATAACGAAATGTACATCTGTGGCTAAAGTGTCAATTTCATTTTTATAAAAATAAACAGGATATCAAATATTTCCCTAAGGACTATTTTCGAAATTAATGAAAAAATCTGCCAAGTAATTTGTTGGGCATGACCAAATAAAAGGCGTTTTATTATACAAAAAACTAATTTCACGAAAGCTGTACAGGGTATTATTATTTTGTTTCTATTTTCCTGATCAATTTTTTTGTGTGGCATTGGGTTAGGAA